CCCTCACCTCAAATGGAAAACTCGATACAATCGTTGTTCTAGTAGCATGGGAGATTCATGTGATGAACATCGTTTTTTTTACCAAGCCAATTTATAAACTAGATCCCATAGCAAACTGATCAAACACATTGACAATATCCTTATTTGATCTCCCATCACCCGGGTTGCCTTTGAATTTATGCAGCCCGGGTGGTAGCCAAATTCTCATCTAGTCGCAACTTCATCTAACTTCACGGAGAGGACCATTCACACATATAAAAATTAAGTAAGGGGATAGAAAACAATCCTGCCTCAACCCTCTTTCACTACCAAAAGAACCAGCAAGAACTTTCCGACTCTTGGAGATATACTTGCGACTTTGTTAAACACATGACACCATCACTGATACATTTGGAGGGAAAGTTAATTTCTGTAATTTCAAGAGGTAATATTACTATGTGGAGTCTGGAGGATATAGAGAATCAGGAGTGGTCGTATAAACATCTTGGTTTACCTTTTCCTTACAATGATCCAATTTCCCAAACCCGGTTTTTACCAAATTTTGTTAATGATGCCGGTGAGTTTATTTATGTACCAACATCCAACAACTTTTTTTTTTTTTTTTTTTTTTGCTAAATTGTAAATATTTCATAGAAATGAAAAAAGTTTAGGTTACAAACATAGATTTGAAACCTATACATATGGATCCATGGCAAAAAGAATAAAAACATGGAAACATAACATACGGTTAATTAAAACCAAGTTTTCGGTCCATCTTCTCAACCCCGTAAATAAAGCTATGAAGCAATGGGAAAAGATGAAGCGATTACGTTCTGATCTATCCTTCCCGAGTGAAAATGCAAAGTTGAAGGGCTTCTGCTTTAAGTGAAAAATCTTTAATTTACGGACCAAGAGCTTCAGAAGCCTTTCGCAGGAGACCCGGGACCGAGCCGTCAACGGTTTGAACACTCCAAATCTACGATCACTTACTCTCCCTGCTTCAAGTGAAATCGATTCTTCAATTCAATCCATGAGCTTTCCTAGAAACGGAACCTCACACGCCAAAGACCAGAGATGCAAGCTCCCTCTAACCAAGTTCCTCCTCGAAGTCAGCAGCGCAGAGCCAGATAAGAAAAATCACCACTGCATCAGAAGTCTTTAGCCCTACTAGGTCCTCTAAAGCTCAATCCAAAACACAAAGAAAACGCACGGAAAGCAAGCTAACTTCAAATCAAAAGCACTATCAAAAGGAAGCCACAGGAAAGAACAAGTCTTGAACAAAACCAAAGAGCCGAAATGCAAACGGAGATCTCAAAAGTAGTAGGTAACAAGCTACCACCGATAGCTAACGCCACAACTTGAAAACACCATTGCAGCTGCACAAAGGAGGCAAAGAGCATCCAAGTCGTCGACAAAGCATAACCAGCCACAAGAACCATACTCCTAAAAATTCTGCTACTGTCCACAAGCAGAATAGGCCAACAGAGACATGGTTCTCCTAAAATCAAGCTCGACGAAGACAACTAGACGACCTTAGACAAACCAATAACAGCCTAACTTTGAATACCTATGTGGAGGAGAAATTGAAAAGAGAGGCTGAGGCATCAGAAGCAACAGCGGGCCAACGGAGAACGCTGACCAAAGCTGGAGAACCAGGCACTGCGCTAAAGAAAGTCTCTCAGTTCAAACTCCAACACACGAAATCGACACGCACGGAGCGGACAGAGGCTTCAAGCGAGCGGGGGCAAGCTGTCCTCAAGGCGAACTCCCGACTCAGAGAAGCCCGAGACTCCGGTAGACACGAGCCAAAACGCGGTGGTTAGACCAAGAGAGATCTTGGAAAAAATGACTCCGAGCCAGGAAAGAGGCGCCACCACGACGAAGCCGGGAAGCACGCTCGACCAACGGAAATCACCAGGAAGAAGGAGATCTAGAGAAGATCAACAAACAAAAGCTTGCTCTGCCGAAGAGAAGCGAGACACTTGGACCGGAGATGAGAGCCTCAACCATTATCCAGTACCGTCTACAGGCGATGGAGGGAGAGGGCAGGAGTAACCAGTCACCGGAAAACCGGCCGTCGCGCACGGAGAACCTTCAACACACACCACGAGAACCAAAGAAGAAACGACCCTGCAGAGCCTTCAAGAGCACATGTGAAGAAGAGAGCAAGTAACCAAGAGCCCTCTCACAGTGTCGGTCGGAACCAAACACCGGAGAGGCAAGAGCGGCGGAGTTTAGGGTTGTCGCAGAAAATCGCTTTGGGAGAGAAGATTGGGGGCGCGTGGATGAGACGCGCGTTTTTTTTTTGCTTTAACAACATCCAACAACTTTAGGTTTCATATTATTTATTTTGATCCAAATGGAAACAGCTTCAGAAGAGTCGTGGTTGATGGGTTTGCGGATGACCATATAGGTGCCAAAATGGATTTGGAGACAAACCTCTCCATATCAAATCTGTACTTAATCCAATCACATAGAGACTCTCATGTCAATCTAAGAAAGACTTGCAAAATTATCCTCTCTTTTTTTTTTTTGTTTCTTTTTGCTGCTTGTATTACACTCAAGAAAGTTATCATTAATTAAGGTTTGTCGTTTAATCTCTTTGGCCCTACATCCGTCTCTACTATCTTGATCTTCCTTAATACTACTTCAAATGAATCTGATCATGAACCAAAGAAACAGTAATATTTATTTGGTTCAAATTTCACTACTAAAATCACATGTTAGCAAAACGTTCTAAATTCTCTCATAGTTGATTTTTTTTCCTTAATTTTGCTACCATGTGATTTTAGAATTTACTCGAAACAGTTTTGATTATTTGATTACTTGAACTGTGAGATGAACAAAGATGATAAAAACTAGAATCGCTACTGAATCTTGATCGTCTTTTTTTCTTTAAAACCAAAGCAGCCCAACCAAAGAAACATCTTATCTACTTCATCAAAGTCTGGGGACTTATCATTCTCCACAGCTTCTGATTTATCGCTCTGCCTTCTAATCTTCTGATTACGAATGAGTCTCAAAAGTCAAAAATACCTGAATCTGTAGCTTGTTCTGATTTTGCGTCTTCTTCTTAATCAAAAATATCCTAAAGATATGAATACATTGATATATGAATTAGTAACGTTTTGTTTTGTCTACCTAAAAATAAACCTTTTCGTTGTATCTAATTTATATTTTCTAACGTAGTATATAAGTAATCACTTTTAAAAAACGTAACGTGAAAAGTTGATGGATTTGAATGGTAAAAAAGTAGCTGAATCACTTTGTGAAAACTTGAAAAAGTGTTAAACCATTCATTGGTGTTGTCTTTATAATTTTAAATTTCCTGAGGAATAAAACAATTTCACAAAACTATGGGGTATTATTTGAACAATTTTATAAAATTTAGGGTTTTTTAGTCATTTTTCTAAACCCGTCTTAAGAGTTAAGAACATACAGAAACTATAAAACCCTAAGAAACAGAAGCAAACACTAAACCCTAAACAACAATCAAAGCCACCGGCACTTCCTTCATTCGGAGATCGCAATGATGATGGAACTTCCAGAAGACGTGTTAGAGGAGATACTCTGCCGCGTTCCGGCTACATCTTTGAAACGGTTACGGTGTATTTGCAAACAATGGAACAGTTTATTCACCGATAAGAGATTCGCAAGAAAACACTTCCGTAAAGCCCCAAGGCAATCTCTGATTCTCATGTTGAAGAATTTAGGGTTTTCTTCGATGAGCTTCAATCTCCACCGAGTTTCACCAATAGAGATCATTGGTGAACTTAACCTAATCGACCCTCATTCTAGTTCATATCTATTCAAGATCTATCAAAGCTATCACAGTTCAGACGGCTTATTGTTATGCGTATGCGTCGACAACAAGATGGACGATACTAGGCTCGTGGTCTGGAACCCGTGTACTGGTCAGACCAAGTGGATCCAACAAATAAATCGTTACATGCCAAGCTACACCTTTGCTACTGGATCTTACCAAGATAACAAATCTGGCAATAAGAGCTACAAAATATTGAGCCGCAGGAGTTATGGTGAGCCAGAATTCGAAATTTATGAGATTGACTCAAATTCATGGAGGATTCTTGATGTCAATGTGGACTGCAACGTTATGTACATTGGGAATGTTACTTTGAAGGGAAAGACTTACTGGTTTGCTAGAGATAAAAAAGACTTACGGGTTTACTGGAGTGCACCGTTATTCCTGATCTGTTTTGATTATACAACAGAGAGATTTGAACGTCTATGTCTACCGTATCCGTATCCATATCATGGTTATCGAAACAAGTCTCTATCTGTTGTTAGAGAAGAGAAACTTTCCGTGTTATTACAACGTACAATTACGTCGAAGACAGAGATATGGGTGACAAATAAGATTGGTGAGACCAAAGTGTTGTCGTGGATCAAGGTCTTAACGGTGGATTTGAAGCCTGAGCTTAGAGATGGCATAAAATTCTTGGTCGATGAGGAGAAGAAATTCCTCGTTTGTATTCAAAATAATGGATACAAAAGCCAGACTATGGTATACTTTTTTGGAGAGGACAAAAAGGTTAGGGAAGTGGCTTTTGGAGACGAATTCAAACCATTTTTGTTGAATTATGTTCCAAGTTTGACTCAAATCCAGCAAGGTGATGATTAAGCTACAAGAAGACCTTTTTTGGATTTTTCGTTTTTCATTTTTATTTCACTGTTATCTCAGTCATGTCCTTTGAATACTTAATAAACAGATATTTCACTAAAAAAATACTAGCTATTTGCCATGTATTCCTTGCTTTGTAATTACCACAGTTTTTAGGTTTTATATATGATCAATGTTTAATTCCTTACATAAAAAAGACTTATGTTGACATGCGACAAAGTCAAGAAGTTTGAATATTTCTGCTAGGGTTGTGGAATGAAGCCTAGTTAAAGCGAGATAAATTTGTCCACTTCAAACGGCATACACCGTCTGGTTATTTTTACTAAACGTCTAAAGATTCACTTATAAAAAACATTTCGTGCTTAAGTTGTAATCATGGAACCGTGTGGTGAGCGCAAAGCGAACTATTCTTTCGCCTTTTACTAAAAAATACCGTGTGCTCTCCACTTCAAACGGCATAAACCTATTTTCGGAGGAGTTACTTTCTCTGAAGTTTTCTCCATTAGTTCAATCTTTTTCAAATTGCTTAATTGGCTGAGTCATACAATTTTTTAATTGTGACAAAAACACGCATTTATTTTAGCATGTGGTAAATAACAGACAGAAGAAAACATGAATATAAGAGAACAAAATACGCATGTAAACACCCATACAAGTCCGAGGGGCTTGCTTTAAGCCATATAAAGCTTTTCGTAACCTTAGAACCTTTTCTTCTTCACCTTCTACGATGAATCCATGTGGTTGTGTGACGTAAATCTCCTCTTCGAGTTCTCCATTTAGAAAGGCCGACTTTACATTCATTTTAGAAAGCTTCCACTTCATTTTTGCCGCGAGAGCAAGAATGGCTCGAACTGTATCATGTGTTGAGACGGGTGCCAAGATTATCAACACCGTATTCTTGAGAAACCTCTCTTGCGAATAACCTTGCTTTATACTTGAATGGAATTCCATTTGCATCAGTTTTGATGCGATATATCCACTTCACGCTAATGACGTTTTTCTTTTCCGGTTTCTCCACGAGTGACCATGGTCTGTCTTTCTCAATCATTTCGTTTTCTTCACTCATGGCATCTCACCATTCCTTATCTACACACGCGTCATCAAAGGAATGGAGCCAATGAAAATTCCTCTCTTGGCCTTTTCGTCTAGCTTACTTCTCTTCTCCTTTGGCTTATGACCACTCCACTTTTCGATCGGTGTGTGACATCATCGATCTTCTATTGCCTTTATAGGCAAACAATTTTGCAAATAATTTGACGTATATAACGCCTCTGCCCATAGCTTGTGAGAAAGACCTTGGTCTGCAAGCAAGGTTCGTGCCATCTCCATCAAAGATCGATTCATACGTTCCGTAACGCCGTTTTCCTGCAGTGAGTATGGCACAGTAACTTTTCTCTCGATCCCTCCTTTATCACCAAACTCATCGAATTCACTTGAAGTAAATTCACCACCACCATCAGATCGAAGCATTTTGATCTTTTTTACCCGGTTGTGTTTCCACCAAGGCTTTGAACTTCTTAAACATTGGAAAAAATTGAGTCTTTTATTTAAGAAAGTATACCCACGCCATGTGAGTATAGTCATCTACAAACAACAAGAAGTATCTACTTCCATTAAGAGAAACAATTTGCATTGGACCACAAACATCGGTGTGAACAATTTCAAGTTTCTCCTTTTTCTTTGTTTGAGACTCCTTTGGAAACACTTCTTGTACTTGCTTTCCAAGTTTGCATACCACAAACAGTTGCCTGTCTGAAACATATGAACAGTACACCCTCCAGTTACATTTGCCACCCATACCGCACTTGAATCCAATCTTTTCCTTCTCCCACCTATTCTGAACAACATTATGCCCGTGCTTTAATGCCACCTCTAAAATAGCTTCTTTGAACTCAACACTTGTGAAAAATGTACTTCCAACCACAAATTTATCTCCCATAGCCCTTCTGATTCTTCTATCCCTCAACACAATGGGATCCTCGTCTTCATCTGAACTCTCTGGGATTATATCTCGACCAATTTCTACCTCATCTTCGAAATTGGCCACTCCGTCATCTACTTCAAAGTCAAAACGCTCAAGAGGATCTTCTTCATCTTTTTTCTTCTTCTCCTTCTTCTCATTCTTCTCCTTCTTCTCCTTCTTCTCCTTCTTCTCCTTCTTCTCCTTCTTCTCCTTCTTCTCCTTCTTATCTGTCTTCTCTGTATTCTCCGTCTTCTTCTTCTTCTTCTTCTTCTTCTTCTTCTTCTTCTTCCTTCTCACATATCCTTCAATCTGCTCTTCACTCTCTGATTCAGCATTGTTCACCATACTCTCATCTGCATTCTCTGATTCAGAACCCCCATTGCACTCAACATCATCACTATCACTACATTTGAAAAACATATCAACATCATCGTTAGACATCTCTTTATCCTCTCGAAATCAACTCATCCAAACAAATCAATACAATTCCGAACGAATCCAACAATAATACGAAGTTCAGTAAGATTAAAAGCAAAAACTCACGACATTTTTTTGTGGAGAACGTCTGATTCCGACCAAACGATGCTTAAAATCCGAACAGAGACGTCGAGAAACAAAATACAAAGAAGAAGAGAGAGTTCGTTGGAGAAGTTTCAGTCGCTGTCGTTGTCGGAGAAGAGAGTCGCAGTCGTTGTCGGAGAAGAGAATCGCAGTCGTTGTCGGAGAAGAGAGCCACAGTCGGAGAAGAAGAAGAGAGTGTCGGGGTGGGTGGAGAGAAAGAATCCCCAATTTGATTTTGTTAGGGTTTAATGGAAAAAGTCAAACCCTCTACATCAAATAGAAGCTTCATTTTTGGTTATTTGATATGGGTCGATTACCGGTTTAATCGTAGCTGAGCAATTTTTAAACGCAATTTTATGATTTTAAAACGCATTTAGACATTATAATTGATTTTGGTGAATTGGGTAGAATTGTAAAACATTGGGTGGAATTGTGAAGAGTATAGTGGGTATAGGGGGAAATAGATAGAGGGTAAAAGTACAGGGGGAACCGAGTTGAAACGATATAGTACAGGGGGACAGAGGCAGGCAGCCCTATTATAAATTAAGGTTTTTTAGTCATTTTCTCTAATTTTTTTTTTTTTAACTCCAAAAGCTGTTCTCTTTATTATGAAGAAACAGAGTGATCCTCATAGAGGATTTGTACAAGAAATCTAGGGACATAAAAATGAGATACAAATAGCGATTCATTTGGAATGTCTTCCTTAGCTAAACTATGAAGTTTAGACCAACTTCTACCAAGGCTTGTAATGAATTTTACCTTCGTTTAGAATCAGAACTTGAAAAGAACAGAGCTTTGAGTGTTTAGAATAAATGGAAGAACTTTGCTAACACGAAAAACAGAGCACACACGAGATTGTTAACCCAGTTCACACCAACGGTGCTACGTCTGGGCCGGGAAATCTTTCCCGGAATCCACTATAACCTTTGAGATTTACAAAGAGATTTCTCACCCTCACAGCCCTTTACAAAGCTAACTCAGATTCACCCTCTTTCACTCTCTGTTTCCCCAAGAACACTCAATACAAGTTTACTCCCAATTGAATGTCTCTGCGTTTCTTAACCCTCTCTCTCTCTCCAATGCTCAGCTTAAATAGACATAGAGAACTTAACCTAGGTTCCTTCTGGATCCTTCCCGTTGAGTCCTCAAGATGCTCCTTTGCAGCTTCCAGGAAGTTGCCTCTCACATTTGTCTTCTAGCTTCAAATGGGTAGAGCTTATCCTGCGAGTAACTTTACCACAACCAGACAAGAGTTGCTTTAGCCATTCAAACGTTTGCTTTAGTGACCAAGCGCAAACGGCTACTCGAGTCTTGTGGTCCTGCGTATGACGTGTCTCATTGCATTGCTGGCATTACTTCTTCCTCAAGCTTCTTCATTTGTTGTGTTCTTCTTTACTACTTCTCAACAAATCTCCACCTAGTAAAGTAAGAACATGAAACTGGAACAGAAGAAGCGAGGATACCTTAGAGAGATTGATCTTGACTTGATATAGTTTAGGATTCCTTTCCCGGTCCTGAGCTTGATTACTCAGACTTTACACGCAGCGAGTCCAAAGCTGACTTGAACTTGCTGATGGGTACTATCTTGGTGAAGATATATGCAGGGTTGATCAATGTAGATATCTTCTGAACTTTCACAACTCCATCCGCAATCACTTCACGAATCTTGTGATACTTGATGTTAATGTGCTTCGCTCTGTCATGATGCACATTGTTCTTTGATAATGCTATGGCACTCTAAGAGTCACAAAAGATCTCCACAGTCTTTTGTTCATAGCCAAAATCCTTTAACAACCCCTTAAGCCATATTGCCTCCTTAACAGCTTCTGTGAGAGACATATATTCGGCTTCAATAGTAGAAATAGCCACTACTTTCTGTAAGCATGACCTCCAATTTATGGTGCTTCCACCAAGTGTGAACACCATTCCACTTATTGACCTTCTGTTGTCAATATTTGCAGCATAGTCTGAGTCACAGTATCCTCTAAGTATGAAGTCTGTTCCCTTCTTGTAACATAACTTCATCTTGAGACTTCCCTTAATGTACCTAAGTACCCACTTAACTCCCAACCAATGCTCCTTGATCGGTTTGCTCATGAACCGACTGATAATACCAACAGAATAGGCCAAATCTGGTCTTGTTCCGATCATGGAGTACATAATGCTTCCCACAGCATTAGAGTAAGGTACTGACTTCATGTATTCTTCATCTTTGAGCAATTGTTGCTCTGTTGCAGCATGCATTTTTAAGTGAGCACCTAGAGGTGTCACAACAGACTTGCATTGCTCCATATTGTAGACAAAGTGAGAGTTCCCTTAGCTCTGTCTCTAGAGATCTCCATACCCAATATCTTCTTTGCAGCTCCAAGGTCCTTCATTTCAAATTTCTCACTTAGTTTCTGTTTTAACTCCAAGATAACTTTCATATCTCTTGCAGCAACTAACATGTCATCGACATATAAGAGTAAGTAGACCTTAGAACCATCCTCCGTTGTCTTGATGTATGCACAATTGTCACGCGGACTCCTTTTAAAACCAATTTCCAGCATGTAACTGTCAAACTTTTGATTCCATCTTCTTGGTGACTACTTCAGACCATACAAGGTCTTGTTCAGGAGACACACTTGATCATACTTGAATTGACTTTCAAAACCTTCTGAAGCTTCCATGTAAATCTTTTCTTCCAGCTCTCCATGAGGAAATGCGGTTTTGACGTCTAACTGTTCAAGTTCATAATCCTCTTCTGCAACAATGGCTAGCAGTATCCTTATAGACACATGTTTCACCACAGGTGAGAATATATCAGTGTAGTCTACTCCTTCTCTTTGTGCATAATCTTTGGCAACGAGCCTTGCTTTAAATCTTGGTTTTTCAACTCCAGGAATTCCAGGCTTACGCTTGAAAATCCAGTTGCAGCCTATGACTCTCTGTCCTGCAGGCTTAGTGACTACAGTCCATGTATGGTTTTTCAAC